CCCCGCCTAGACTCAGCCATCCACAATACGTCCCCCATACTAAAACCATATTGATAGTGACTCACACACTAAATTCAAGACATTTTGGGGTCCACACAAAAACCAAGACACTTGCGGGGTAAAAAAACAACAGAGTAGGGCCCGAATCCCCCCCCCTCTACTCAGCGACCCACATCGCGCCCCCCTATACTCAAATCAGTATAATGGTGGCCCCACACTGAAACTAAGACACTTGGGGGTTCCACACTAAAACCAAGACACTTGGGGGGCCCACACTAAAACCAAGACACTTGGGGGGGCCACACTAAAACCAAGACACTTGCGGGCAGAAAAAGTGTCTGTTGGTGTCGGTGGGCCCAGCGCACCCGTGGGTATCCATACTTGGCCCGGCGGAATAGCCAGCGCAGTCTCCACTACAATTGCAATGCGGCGGCCCACTGAAAGCTCGCCGCCCTTGGGGCGATGTGGGGGGGTACTTGGGGGCGTATCCATCGTTTGCATAGTGGTATCTTTGTAATCCGCAAGTTGCAGAGGACGTGAGTTCGAATCCCCATGGGGTGAAAAATTTACGAAATTTGCGGGTGAAAGCGAAACATAGCTAAAACAGCTCTCGTGAGTACCAAACTTCGACGTTAGCAGGGAGAGGGACGGCTGGACCCTTCTCGCGATAAAATAAAATTCAGCACGCACCGCAGGGGGATGTTGGGGCATGAAAAGAAATAAAAAGAAGAAAAAAGCCCTGGTATTTACCTCCTCCTGTGTGACCCTGGATGGTTGTAGTTGTACGAAAAAATGCTCTGAAAAAGTGTAGTACTCTAATACATACGCTGAAAAGTGTAGTACACGTCTCACCACGAAAAATGGGGGAACTGTCGCCATAATAAATAGGACGAGAAACACAATAGAACAACATAGTGTGTGGGGGGTGGTAATCACGCCTGATCTCACGAATTCTAAAAAAAATCTAAAAAAAAATCTAAAAAACGTTCTCAAAAAAAACTCAAAACATGCCAGAATGGGCATATTTTGACCTAATTTTAGTGTATAACAGGGTCTTCGATTTTTTTTTTTTTAGTCAGCTTTGCATGTGTCTTGCCTTTCTAACGCACCCAGCCAAAGGCTTAACCTCAACGTGTAGGTATCTTTACTACTACACGCACATTACAGACCAGACTTATGATACAGAGGAAGTACATAGGTAAGTGTTG